TATCCATCACTGTTTTTCGGCAGGCAAAGGCTAAACCTAACGGGTAATCTTTGTTTCGATTAAGGTCATTCGTTCTTTCGTTCTTTTATTTATTCTTTCGCTCTAGTTAATTAATTTTTTATTGATTCACCCACCAGTTGGGGCATCATTTTTTATTCCTTGATTTACATTGACGTAAAATTAACCGATATACCCGCTGACTGTTCATTGTGGCTTTGTGATTTATTTTAAAAATACTAAAGATAGGCGGAGTTATGTTTTGCACAACATTCGTGTCAGTGACGTTATTTCAGTTTATAATAATATTTTAATACTAATAATCGACACATAGAAAGCTGTCTTCCGAGAGCCGGAGAGAAATTCAGGAACTAAGTCCTTACGCATGTTACAAATATTTTGGACTGCAAGAACTTTTTTGGATCTACTTCTTTAAGCAGATAAATGAAATGAAATGCGATAAGGTCGTTTATCAACAAGCGCCTCACTTTGGTTCAGAAAATGCAGCTTCTATAAATAAGGTCAAAACTGTCAATGCTTGGTCTATTCTGGTGATAGCTTATAAATTTATAATCCTACAACTGTCTCAGATTCCTCTCAATCATAATCGAAAGTTTATGATATCATATCGATCAGACATCTGTATGTACCATCCAAGAACCTCTGGAGCCGGGTTATATTTGCCAAGGAGGCGTAACATCTACGGTTTGGTGAACGTCTCTTATCTGTGCATAAAAGGAAATACCCTTCACCTATACCTTCTGACGAATTATTCACCTTTACAGAAAGCTATGGTGCAAGCTGACAAAGCGTATAAGCGACTGATGCTGTGCGAAAACGATAATTGGGTGGAGGACAGGAGAGTATTTTCTAGCCTTGATACATGGTGTGACAAAGCTTATCATAGGCGTTTCTCTGGATGATGAGATCTGATGGCATAGACCTGGCAAAGTCGGTTGTATCTTCGAGATGGAGGATTGTTTTCGAAAGTAGTAAGATTTGCACGGGCAGTACAAGATAACGTGGTCAGGGTCACATCGGTGAAAGGAGGGATGCCCGACAGTACAACAGAATCGATCCAGCACATTGTCAAAGGTTGTATTGTTTCGTTTGTTATTTTGATGCTTCAGACGGTGCAGTAGCATCGCGACATACGCGTACAAACGTCATTTAACAGAGGCTTCATCACAGAAACGACGCAGCGTTATCGGTACCGACCAGAAGACGTGCTTGAAAATGGCTAATTTACCATCTGTTTTGGCCACCACTTCCTCATTGATCACATCATTGATAACAGTTGTCTTGGCGTACTAATCCTGTCTCACAAGAACAGGAAAGTTGAAATAATTGATGCTGCTGTTCCACTGGACGAAAATGTGTGAAAATCAAGGTTGGAGAATATGTCTAAATCTCTCCATCGATCTGAAGCAGGTATATTGGTTAGACTGTACGAACAACAAAGCTTGTCATCTCCGCAAATGGCCTCGTTTCAAAATCAGTGAGATCGGGCTTTGACTATTTGGAGCTCACGGAAAATTTTCGAAAAAGCCGATGTTCTGAATATTTTTGCAGTAGTGCGAAAGACGATGAATATTACAGATTTATATCCTGCTACAAGTAGTTAGCTATGCATGGCCCGTGACTGTTGAAAATATCGTCTGTATGAGGGAATATGAAATAAAGACTGAAAACTAATGAGTGAAATTATACGTAGCCAGGTAATTTTGTGTTATGGCACCGCTATTTAAGACATCTGACCTAAGCTGATCATGGCTTCTTAACTTTGGCTAACATGAGTGTTAAATTATGATAATTATATCGATGGCATGCTATGGATAACCGAAAACTAATGCTTCTTGTGATTGCGAGGGCTATCAACACTACTGATAGCAGAGAAGGTAGGTTTACATATAAACAAGCGATTCCGCCTGCCAGTTGATGCCAGCCATCGATGTAGAACAATGCTAGTTGGCATAAAGGGCCTGGTCAAAATTGTCATGTAGCTGTTCATGAAAGGTACCTGATAAACCAGAACGTTTGGATCTGCTTATATCCATATTCTGTGGTGCGGTTATTCTAGAGTTTCTAACAGCGTTAAACTCACAATCACGGTTGATGATTTAAACGTATGGAATTTCTCGACCGGCCATGGAGTAAACCGTTTTGGCAGCAGAATCAAACCCGTAATTTAAACAGTTAAAAATGCCCATATTCATAATAAGTTTACTTTCCAAGCATTTCTGGTGTTTGTATTCATGTGTGCCCAAATTTGCAGAGTGAATTATTTATTAGTTGTCTGTTAAATCTGACTCGTTTTTTAATTAGAACGTATCATTAGGATGCTCGTTTTGGTTTTATCTAAAGCCATACCTGTCATATTCACACTGAAAGTAGCGCAGGATTCTGCAAACGATGACCATTGTCTGTCATCGATCAACTGTAAATTCCAGAAATTGAGGTTTCAAAATTTCTTTTGTCTGTTTAGAATGTTCAGCAGACACCCTCCGCAAAAGACCTGGAAGCCGGTGTAGTCATCGTCAGACGTTCAACTGCTTCTGTACGCTTTCTCAAGTTCATCAGCAGCGTGTTCCTCGAGGCGTTCACGTTGACGTTCATTGCCGAGTGGGGTGACAGGTCGCAGATAGCAACCATCATCCTTGCTGCTCGAGAGGTTTTGTTTTTTGTTTGCATGAAGTATCTTGTAAGTTACCGAAACTTTCTTGCATTAAAGGATGCAGCCGATAACGATGCCGTCAATATACTGTGACAGTAGTTATTTATTTGAAAGTCTGATAGGCAAGGATTTGAAGATGTGGACGAAGAAGAACGTGAGAATGATGATGGAATTACCAAAAGTAGAGGACGCGGACGATGAGAATGATTTTGGTAAAGGTGAAGAATGAAAATGTTGATGATGAAGTTAATGATAAAAGGAAGAAGAACCTGATAAAGATGAAGAATAAATAAACGACGAAGAAACATCATGAGAAGAACACGAAACTTCTGTTCGATAGAGGACGAAACGGAATTCTGCGCGGCTGCAGCCGTTAAGGTTGTATCCGGACATGCAAAAATAATGTAGATATTAATCACAAAGCGAATGATAGAAAGTCAATCCTTCTTATTGAAGAGCTAGTTATTTTGTTCTTCTTTTGCAAAATCGGTTGAGAATCTTGGGCAGTTAGAACTGCTTGCTCGTTCAGAGTCTGCTGGTGCTTTGAAATTGCCCTTTCGCTTGCTTTGAAAGGTGTTTTTGACTTCCTAGTGGCGTTTGTCAGAGTCCTGTTCAATCAGTTATGAATTCCAGAGCGTTGTCGTACCAGTTATGCACTATGGTCTAACCATTTACTCCTTGGTCAGCCTACAATGAGGTAGCTTGTTGGTGCGCGTCAGACTCAAAACCAGAGATTTTTTTTCTAGCCCCGGGTTAGTACTTTATTTCTTCATAGGCTGAAAAATCAAAAACACTTTGTGTAAAGAAAACGGGAAACTGCACGTTGTAACGGTCACCGGCTTGACTTGAAGGTATATCCTTAGAGGTGAACAATAACGCACTCCTGAGTTTGAGATTGAAACGTGCTACTAATGGCGCTAAGTCGCGAAATTTGGGATCGATCAACTTCATAGCAGTTACCTACTTTGATTTTTCCCTTCCTCACCAGCAACTCTTCAAAGTAACCTCATAACCACTCGTCAGTAGTGTTAACTCATTATTTTGCATAAATACCCTATGTGCATGTTTTCGTTTCCGACGTTAAGCATTTTTCTTTTCGCTTTGAACGTACGGAGTAAGGGTTACCGTCGGCATTAACTCCCGAAGATAACAGGATAAAATCTTCATCATTTCTTTTGTGCTCTAAAATGGGGAAGGTGAATCATTAGCAAGTAGAGAAGATTCTGACCTATTAAATCGATGAAGTCTAGAAATGATAAAGATTATTAGAATGTCATTCTTCATTCCAGTTAAGTGTCAGATCTGTGAAATCAGGTGTAATATTGTTGTCCACGCTTGTTTATAGATGCTTTCATCCCTTTGAGTAGAAAGTAACATTTCTCACTGATTTGAGTCTCTATTTTATAGTACTTATGTCTTGCATTTTAGAACGTGGTAGGCGTTACTCTTGGTGGCACACTTGGCCACTCGTTATGTACCGGTTTAGCGGTGCTTGGCGGTCGAATGGTGTCTAGAAGAATCTCTGTTAAAACAGGTAAATTTTGTGAATGAGTTCAATTGGAAACTGAAATATTAAACGCGGATCTTTTGAAAACCTATCAGCGTAACAACAGAGTATGCAAATGGTATGAAAGTCAGAATGGAATGGGAACACATTAGTGTGCTACCCTTGCAAATGAAATGGAAAAAGAAGAAATAGAAAGAGGATTTAAGGAAAAGTGTAGGCGGTTTTCAGTTATTCAGTCAGTTTCGACAACTGCTTATTTTTTTGGGTTCGGAGGCTGACTGCAGGTGTTTTTTAATAATAAATTTCAACTACCTGAGTATTGTAGCCAGTGTCGTTTGCCCTTTGTTAATGTACTCTTAAACGGTTCCTTCTCCATTTTTGTTTTCACACTTTGTATATCTTGAATCTGATCAGGCGAAGGCAAAAGACTCAGAAAGGACATGAATTCACAATGCCTACCCGCGTCGAATAGCGGCACCGCCTCTGATTAGAAAT